TCGCAACTTTATGTCCCTTTGGAATATCTGAGGCTTTAAGGATGGTGCAGGATGAAGTCACCCGTTCCATATCTCAAGGGGCTGAAAGAGGGAGCAAGTAAAAGAAAGGACGAGAGGCAGAGTAGCCAATATTCATGAAGGAATGTTTAAGTTATGATTACTCAGTTTAATTTCCTTTTGTTAAGGTATTTGTTGAGCAAGAGCATTTTAATAGGTTAAAGAAAATAAGCTTTAGCAAGGTGTGAGTGGACATACAACTGACAAATGGAGACGATTCGGAAAAGAGCTGAGAGTATAAGATTATGTGTGATTATAAAATAAAATATAGTGCTAGAAACAGTATTGTGATATACAACTGGCTATCTTCCTTTTATTATCAAAGCTATTAGAGCCCCTTTCGTTTTTTTATTTGTTTTTTTTCAGGTTTTATAGGGTCTTGAGTGGGCTTCGTATATTAGCGAATTGTCTAGTTTGCTTGTAATAGGATTACTGGGTAGGAAGTGAAACCAATTCAACGTTCGTAACACGATTTAAAGAGGTATTTTGCGTGATAAATCAGCTTCAATGCCATAAGTCCGTGACATCCCACTAAACCATAAGGAGCCGTAATTAAACAAAATGTTCTGCCCTACAGACATGGGTGGATTGAAGTTATCTCCCCACCTTCATGTTTGCTGGTCAGTAACGCCACCCTCCCTCCTTTTGTGATGTTAGGCTCTCTTACGTTTGTGGTAAGTATGATTAATGCTTTAATCAAAGCACATAGTTGGAATACACTGTCTCTACTAGGTCCATGTTACAAGCAAATCAGATATTTAAAAATTCTGTTTTATGGGTTAGATGTCCATATAGTATATCACACTGCTATGAAAATAACTAATGGTTTAAAGAAGTAAGGACTAATAGCACATCAAAGGATATGAAAGAGTATATAATTGTGAAAAAAATTTCTTAGGGTAAGAAAAATAAAACATTGAGCAACCCATAAGACTATATGACAGATTTTGAGCTTTGTATGTTCGGCCTTAATAGATCAGCATCCATAAGATTAGTGAGTTATCTGTCTACTTGCAATAGAAAGAAAAAAGGCATGACACTTTGGAAGAATAATGTATATTTAACCTGTAGAGATTTGGGAACTGAAAGTGAGGGTTAGGAGCATAAGGACATGATTAATAAACAATCAATAATAGGAAGGGATAAGTCATATGTTCTGTAATTCAGTTATATTCATATTAATAATCGTCGAGCTCGTTATATTCTTGTTCTTTCTAGATATTAGACGGTCCATAATGAAGTACGTCATCGGTGTGTGGTAATTCAAGGACAGGTTGAAGCTCTTTAGAGTCTAGATACAGGGTCACAGTTACGGATAGTCATTGACAGCCTGTTCCACAATAAACTATATCGCACTATTAAAAAATCACAACTCAGTTGTTTTTAGCGTTTTGCGATAAGTAGTGTATATGCGTTGTTCCTTAGTCTGTAGGCTGGGTCGTGGGTCATAGTCGGACAGGAGGTTAGAAATAAGAGTCCATATATTGGTTTTTAGAGAAATATTAGGTTGTACCTTAGCCTACGACGCCATAAAGGTTCTAAAGAGAGGAGCTTACATCTATCTGTGTAATCGAGATTCGAGTTACATCCCGGCAGTTGGCAAGTGAAGCGTCTTTGAACGTCTTCTACTCTTATCTTGTCTGTGATATTCATGTTAGAGGAGACAAAAGAGCAGTAATCAAGGGTAAGTCGTACACATATTTTGTAGAGAGTAAGCTTAACCTCTGTTGTGAAGAAATTTTTCGTTATGAAACCAATTAGCCGTCTAGATTAAGAGATGATAGAAGAGGCATGTTCTTCAAAGTCCAGGCTTCCTGTGTAATTAATTCCTAGATCGTGTACTGATTTCAGTGTTTGGACTCTACTTTTATTTAAGTGAAGTTGCAGATTATAGGGGTGTTTTCCAAAGTGCAAGATCCCGCACTTGTTGGGGTTAAATGATATATATAATATTCCTCCTAGACGGTTTTCCGACTTGTTGGACCCATTCACAAAGTTCTAGTGTTTCAACTAACCTGTCGAACCCTATGTAATTTTCGGTGGATTAAAATCACCTCCAATGATCTTAAACGTATGCGGTTGGCGCGAAGCAGTGGAAAATATGTTTTTCAGTAGTTTATCAAAGTATCATCATAAGGTGGTTTGTATATATATCCCACTAGTAGATAATTTTGCGATCCACAGTTCAAAGTAACCTAGGCGGAGTTGTCTTAATCATCGAGTAATTTATCCTCGAATTTGCACGCCTGAATGTTCGAACGGACAAAGATAATTGTATCGCCTCCTATTTCATGACATCTATCGATTCGAAAGAAAACCTAGTTATCTACATGCAAGGAGTGGTCGGACACAGATGATTTGCATCAAGTTACCGTTATTAGTACAATGGTTGGATTTATAAAGAATAAGAGGGTTTTAAGACGAATAATTTTGTTGGAAAGAGAGCGGGCATTGAACAAAGAATAAGAACCCGAGAGTTATCATGGTGAAGCAGGTTAGAGTATAAATCACAACTGGTAGTTCCATGAATAGTCATAGGATCAGCTAAGGTAAGTGTTGTGTTGCGAGGGAAAATAGATTTAACAACTTTGTCGTTCGTAATAGATTTACCGTTGCCGGCAGAAGAGCCAGCGAAATTGCAAAAAAGTCTTCTCATTGCTATTGAATATAACATCTGATGTCTGCACTGTGTACATATTGGTAGCCGGACCAAGAAGACAATCAGATCTACTTGCGCAACTAAGTGGTCATTTACAATCCGGATTACTTTTTGTACCTGACGTATGGATAACATGTTCCAAATGTTTATTTCCAAGGTTCGTGGTTAATTTTAGTCCCTTCGTAGTTTAGGGAGTATCGAGTGTTGGTAAATATACTTGAAAGGTTCAAATATATCGACATAATTGTGTGGTCACTTATATACATGTCATGACTAGTTTTCCCGTTATCCGTTGTACAGTTACTGTAGCTGGGTATTGCTCTGACAGGGGTTTGGACTGTATCATCCCATTCGTTATCAGGACAACTACTTAGAGTTAGATACAAGTCAACATTCTCAAGAGGATGGATACCGCCTACATCAGGATTGTTTTCTTCTAGGTTTTGAACTTCAGGGGATTCAGGAGAGTTTATTAGTGGTAGCATATTTGTAATATTAGATTTCGTTTTAGAATCGAACTTAATTTTACGACCATTAGGATTATGATGCGTATAGGAGTTTGACGCTCGTGGTCTGTAAACATCTTTTCCTGCGTTTCGCAGACATACGTCCATGGAGTTCCATCGGTTACGCTAGGCTACACTACGGAACACCAGATCCATCACACCTGGATGAATAAAATATTCAGAAGGTCCATAAAAGGCGCAAGATGAAGAGAAGACCGGATTTCGTAAAACAATCTTTTGGAGTGGCTAGTCAAGAACAAGAGGGGTGAACCAATCGATGAGATCCAATGGAAAAGAGACAAGTGGGCAAAACGCTTCGAAAAGTTCTTGAATGGACCAGCCATATTGAGCACACTGGATTCCAAAGAGGCATACACAAACCTCCCTGTAGACGTTACTTAATTGAGTTAGCAGGACCATCGTACCAACCAGGAATGTCAAAACGAGAGGATCCAACAACATTTCAGTCAAAGCTTCAGAGTTAGTTACACATGTAGTTTCAAAGATTCATCACATTCACTCCATAAAGACTTGCCGTAAGAATGGTGCCGACAGACAGATAATGACACTTCATCAAGATTCTGAGGAGGAGAGATCTTAGTAAGTATGAGGGCCACAGAGGCACAATACTACAGTCAGTGCAACAGTAAGCTTCCAACAGTGTCAACAAATGGAACCAAAGATTCAGTATACGTCCAACCTTTTGAGTACTAAGTGAGCTTTCGTAAAACAAGCAACATTATTGGATGCTGGGGACGAGACTGATGAAACCCTTCGCAATATGTGTGGTAAAAAAACCAACAGTCACTACAATCAATCCTATGCAAACCGAAGGAAATTCGAGCACTTAACTTCCACCTGAAGTTTGTGCCTATGATGTCGTTCAGAAGAACGATGAAAGCTCCACTAGCAAATCATCAAGCTCGGAGAACAAAACTCCACCAAAGATGAATCTGTTCGAATGCATGGAGCAGAAACTTGTATACCTACCACAATTATCGTCCAAATTCCCAGGTATTTGTAAACGGCTATCTACGCAAATTACGTCAAATCCATTGAGCAGAGACGATCGATATTAACTCGCAGACGAGGACAATCCAACTGCCAATGTACGAGGTTAGGAAAAGACTCTGTATGTGGACAGGTCACATTTTGCTCAAACCATTAACTCATCACAAAGCAAGTAGTGACTCAATCCCCACGGCATTAATAAACCAGGCAGATCACGAAGCACATGACACCGAGAATCAGAGACTAAGATTGAGGCCACAAATACCACTTGTAAACAAGTAGGAAGGAGAACACAGCACAGAGTTGGTGTTAGAACTTTGGTCGTCGGCCTACGCTCTAATATAAGTAATAGCCTGGGGTTCACGTGATCCAGTGCTACAGGTCAAGGAGGCTCGTTGGTCAAAATTTGCTTCAATTCCGTTCACAATCATTTGGAACACTTGAAGACCGGCTCAGCGATGTTTTGTCGCGCCTTATTCAAATCTCCCGAATCATTGTTTACGATTGGATGTACTGTGATGGTACGTTGTGGTCTCTCTAATTTCTTCCTTAAGTCTTCATCCCACAAGTCTTGGAATTCAATATATGAATTCACTGTTAAAGATATCAATGGTGTGGATGTCTCCTTAGAGAAATACCGGTTTGTTCGATATTCTTCTTCTATATAGGATGATAATTATTCGTTGTTTAGTGGTCACGTTTGTCTAATTGTTAACGTCGCTTGTAAGTGAGGCGCAACGGACAAGAACTATCGCCAACTCCAGGAGATGCACACTCGACTGGTTGGCAAAGGCCTCCGTATATTAGCGTTCCCCTGCAACCAATTCGGCGGACAGGTATGTAACACTTAAACCAATGCTATTTGCAGGAACCCTGGGCGGAAGCGGAGATTAAGAAGTTTGTGACTGAAAAGTATGGCGTCCAATTCGATATGTTTTCCAAGATAAAAGTCAATGGGTCTGACGCTGATGATCTCTATAAATTTCTTAAAAGTAGACTACATGGTACCCTAACAAAGTAATTGTTTTTTTCTTTATTAATGTCGTAGTGATATTAAGTGGAACTTCTCTAAATTCCTTATAGATCGTCAAGGCCAACCGGTTAAAAGATATTCTCCTACAACTGCCCCAAATGTGAGTTGCTGAATTTTCAATATTTCTATTTTGTTATCAGTTCCGACTGTCTAAATAGATAGACGTAACTTAAGATAAATTGTAAAAATAAGCAGTCCACCCTTCACTTCGATTTCTTCTTGATTGCTTAAGTATTTTGTTGTGTTGTTTCTTGAGTATGTAACTTTCAGCTACTTAACGGGTGCGTTAACTTCCTCCCGTCTAATGACATGCAGACGTAAAACATGGCTCATAAACAAATCACTTAAGGTCACCATATAATGCACTTCACAAGGAATTGGTGTTAAAGCAAACATTAGTAATATATGCTAACATCAGAAATTGAGGAACGAAGTATTCCGCCTGGTTGATCGCGAGTAATGTCGTTACGTTACGTCACGTAACCTATAGTTCCTGTGGATTTGAAGCTGCCATTAAGAAATTTACTCATTTGAATACTTAGCAGGTTAGTGACCTCGCTGAACATTAGTTGTTTAGATGATTTCATCAATTCGTTTCCAAACTAGTCTCACCTCAATAGTGGTTATACGTCAAAGAAACCAATCTGGACACAGCATATTACCTCACAGCCGGTACATGTTGATAAAGTTACCGGTTAATTGTCATGAATGACAAAATGAAACACCAACTTTAGTTACTTGTTAGTTTTATGGTACGTGAAATATAGTCCATCGCTGCTTAGTTACTTCAGTTATTGGTCATGTCAAACTTCATAAATGAAATTCGAGTTTAAGTTAACTATCTTACATTGCACTATATGACGTCATAGACCAGACGATTTTCCGACTGAGTTCTGAAGTTATGAAATAGTTATCTGTACCGAAGAAACTAGAACTTCCGGGACGAACCTTCGTGTCTTTACTGAGTAACCTTACTTCAGTCAGCTACAACGTAGGACCAGGCACATATGTGCATCGGTCCAGGTTGCCATACCGCATTAGTACAACAAGATGAACACCGGATTCATAGCAGTGGTTAGGTCAAAAGTAGTTATATATAAGAGAAAGATTGCATATAGAGATATAGTACAAGAAGAAAGAATTGGTTCGTAGAAAGAAAGATATGAAGTGATTTTAATCTCTTAGTTTAAGGGAAGACAGGGAGTGTATACACCGACGCCATTGTGATCGATTCTGAGCCATGTCACCAAGAGTCTCCAACCATTGGTTATGATAGTCACGCGGACCCCAACCAAGTAGTCTGCATCTACCAACATGGCTCAGACTAGAAGTTAGTGACTTCAAGCACTGATGCCACGTTTTGGTTTGGCCGCCCCTAACTTGTATATCGCCTTGTAATAGTACGCAAGCCTGCAATCAGTTGTACATCAGTGTACTACAAGCACTAGGTATGATAATTACGGTTTGCGTGGGAGCGTACAAAACTTCTGTATGGCAGTCTTCATCTTTCCATTTCCTGGTTTAGTGACACCGGTTAGCGCGTTTAGTGGTTATTGAACCATATATCAATCCAAGCACAGTTTGTGTCAAGCAATAGTGGAATCCTCCACTACTGCAGGGTTCAAGGGCTAGGAATATCTAATTTCCTCACACTACGTAATTCATATATATTGTAGATCTAACTTATTACAAGTGATTTTTTTCTCTTCATTTACCTGCCCTGCGTCTGTTGGGGCAGACTTACCGATTGATATTGGCAAGATAATCGCAAGCTATGATTACGTGGAGTAACCCACTTCTTGTCTGGCATCCGTAAATGATCTTTCTCCGATCTCACCTTTTCTATTTGTAATACATTTTTAGTGTACTGTACTTCACATAGCGTTGATTCTGTAGTTTGTAATACTGATATGGAGTGTGGGAAATTGAACTAGTGTATGTCCATACCAAACAATTCCTTGATTTTGACCGTCTACCGTATTAGGTGGTTAGTCCCAAGTATGATTCTTAATGTCTAATAGTGACAAAATTCATGAAACTGTCACAGTTTTATCGATAAGTAATCACCTTTTAGTTTTAGGATTTCTGACCAAACTTTTAATTTTTTGTAGGATATTGTAGGAGATATCATGGAGCTTTTGGAAAAGAAGTGATCAATGGAACTTTTGAGCTTTGAACAAATTCTCGCTATATGACGATGGCAATCTCAAATGTTCACTGATTGCCATTTGATGAAATCAGTTTTGTGTGCACCTGATTGTAGAATTTTGTTTACCTTGCTCATATTTTTCATTGAAACTACTTCTCAGAATAAATGTGTTATCTATAATTGAATGACTTCTACTTCACTGGACTTACTTACGAGTTAACTGAAATACTTCTCATCGCACTTACCAAGCAATTCTATTTCACAAGTAAACAATAGCGGTCGGGCTGTTAAAGAAGCCGGTGCATGTTTGCGTTGTTTTCTTGTAAGCGCTTATTATTAATAAGAAATATCAGCCCTGTGGTATGACAAAGTAGTCTAGTCAATCTACCCATCTGATCTTAGTGTAAGCTCTTTTTCTGAATGGGTCTTTAAACTGGCCTAACAATCTAAGGGTTCGTGCAAAGTATCTGAGAGATATACTTCCGTTTGTAATGTTAGATGCGGATATCCGTCCTAACAATTGGTCTGAAACTTTATTTTGCTACTTATATTTAACCGCATATCAAAAGACGTTGATTACACCAAGAGAAATGAATTTCGAATATCACTAAGAACTCCACCGTCTAACTGTGCGTTGAAGGGCAGGCTACCCAAATATTGTCCAATTTAAGGCCGTGAACATGATACGATCTTTGTACTATCAAAGTGGTTGTTATCGTTATTACGAAGAAGACAAAAGCCTGTATCTACACAGGTGTTAGTTTTGGGAATGGTGATATGACACGAAACCGACTTCGGGACGGCAAATGTTCAGGTTGTATTAATTTACAGCACAGTTGTGGAGTCAGCGCAGTCGCCGAATTGAAGATTTTCGACAGCCATGTCGGCGAGACTCTAATTTAGGGACGAGACAATCAGAAGCGTTTGAGCAACTTCAAGGTCACGGAGCCAAGTTCAACACGCGCTGCTGACATACGATCGGTTCACAGCGGATTTTAGAGAGTAGGTGATTAATGAGAGGTTACAACAGATAGGACGGCGAGACTCTAATTTAGGGACGAGCCAATCAGAAGCGTTTGAGCAATTTCAATTATTAGTCAATCAGAAGACAGCATAAAGTAAAAATATATTAAAAGAAAGTAATAAATTACAGTGGATATTCTTCTTTGACATGATTTAAAAACTCGTATGTTAGCATCCTAACCCTAACATTAACCCCTACTTGACTCTAACCCTAAACCTTAACCCTCAACTATCCCTAACCCTCGCCTAAACCTTAACCCTCAACTAACCCTAAACCTTAACTCTAACCTTAACACTTAACCCTCGCCTAACCCTAAACCTTAACCCTCACCTAACCCTAAACCTTAACCCTCAACTAACCCTAACCCTTAACCCTCGCCTAACCCTAAACCTTAACCCTCAACTAACCCTAAACCTTAACTCTAACCTTAACACTTAACCCTCGCCTAACCCTAAACCTTAACTCTAACCTTAACCCTAAACCCTCACCTAACCCCAACCCTAACTAACCCTAAACTCTAACCTTAACCCTAAACCCTCAACTAACCCTAAGCTTACCCGTAAACCTGACTCTAACCCAATAGACGAGTTTCTATTCCATATGCATTGTGAATTCAGAACCTCTGAACCTTAATCAAACCTTAACAAGTTTTTAAATCATGTAAAAGAAGAATATCCACTGTAATTCATTACTTTCATATAATATATTTTCACTTTATACTAACTTTCTTCTGATTGGCTAATAATTGCCAAGGTCACTTAAGATTCGTTCAAAGGTCGTCCTTAAATTAGAGTCTCGCCGCCATGTCCATTTATTGTTGTTTCTGAATGACTGCTTGGATTCGACAGCATTGCAGTCCGAGCAACCAAATGCCTGGGAACATGATACTGCGCACTATTTGTGATCTGTTATTAGTCGGAACACTCGTGTCTCTGGACGGTGGGTGAATTAGTGCCGACGGTGACATGGCTGATAAGGTCGACCTGTGTATATTGAATATCAGATCAGTTTGTGTCAACCTATGGCACCGGCGCCTTCATGATGTTAGTCTGGTTGTAAAATGTCGGGTTCAAAACATCGATGGGATCAGTCTCGATGTATGATTTTTAAGCCTGACCCCTCCGAGTTGGTATCAGATAACTCTGTATGCGGTCACAGTTGTCTGATGGATTGCTGACATTCAGTAGCAATACCATGTCGGTGATGAGGAGGTTCGACGAAGTCTAACTGGGTACCCGGTTACATAATTCAGTCGGAGTCACCATGTGGAGGAAAAGGTTCCGATAGCTCGGACATGTGCTACAAATGCTGTCTCAGCTATTTCCATATTGTGCTTTATTTGCTGAGGCTGAGACCTATTAGAAAAGCGGATATGGAGCCCGGCTATGAAAAAAGCTGTATAAAACTGGCATTTGCTGATCCATTCACAAATTCCTGGTTGGGATTCCTGATGTGATACAACTCTGGCTTGAGGTGCTGTCAGACATGACAACCACTTCTGCTGATGAGGTCAATAGAAGTTATCAATGCACAATTATGGTTAAATTGGGCTATTACGTTCCCTGGACTCCACTTATCAGCAGCACTTAATTCAAATAAGGCGACATTTCTAAAGGGTTCAAAACCACAGGTTGTTGTTTAGGTGTCAATGTCAAGGTTGGACTTGATAGTTTCAAGTAAATACAGCATTGAGTAGAAAGTTAATAATAAATATGTTTTTTGTTATTTCCAAATGAGTAGAAAACTGTATTTCGGACGTTTCGTGACTTAATATTAATCCACTTCTTCAGAGTAAATAACCAACCGAAAAAAGATTAACACAACTTTAAATAATACAAAGGAAATAACCCCATGTACTGTTTAAACTTGTGTTAATTGCATTTCGGTTATTTATTTACTGTGAAGAAGTGGCTTACATTAGATCACGAAACGTCAAAAATAGAATTCTCTACTCATTGAGATATTCACAAGAAATATACCTATTATCCATAGGTTATATTTTTGTTTGAATAATTCTTTTTGTATTTCAGAGAATAATTTTCTTAGTTATTCTTGGACGTATTAATAATAAATTGAAGTACATATTATTTTATCTGCATGCTCCAATGACCTCGCCTTTTCATTGTGTAAAAAAAAAGAAAACAAACTAACTATGTGTACTTATATTTACAGAGTAAACACAAGTCTTAATTATTGATTTGTTAAGTATAAATATTATGTACTTTTTAATTAGATAAAACTATTTTTATGCACATTAGTTGTTCTTATAATTTACATGTTAGAACACACACACACACACTGTCACTAATTATCTGCGTTATTTAATGCATTTTAACAAGTGCAAAATATATTGAGATAAAATGAGATAATCATCATATTCATAATCAATCAATCCATAATCAAATTGTTGTTATGATCAGTCATTCAAAAGAAGTCCACATTATATTTTATTTGAAGAAAAACAAAACAACTAACTATACAAACCCGACAATATCATGTTGGTATATGTTTGTTAATAAATCTGAAAAAAAGACAGAAAAACGAAGTATTTTGATGAAGATTGAATTCTATCTAGTATAAAATAATTATCATTATTAATTCACTTTACCAAGAATATGTTCTATGTACTTTATTATAAGCTACAATTTGTGTATGTGTTCACACATACAACAGGGTAGTAACACTTACTAACTGACTACTTAAACCATAGTAGGCTGAGAAGAGTCATTCAAACCCATGGCTTTTAATGATTAGAAGTTAGATTATTTAACCTTTAAGTCATTAATTTAATTGTAAATTCTAATCAAAGTAACGGTTTATTGTTTATATTAAATATTGTTTAAATCTATGTTGATTCAGCAATATACTAAGATTAGTAAACCAGGTATATTTCATGTATTAAATGTGTCTTGATTGTGATAACTAGCACATGATTTTGAATTTCAAACATTTTAATATTCCTTGGTTAAATATATATCTGAAACAATGTGTATAGGTGATTAGATCACGTGGATACTAAGTTAGAAGATATCACAAAATTGGCAAGCTTAGGAGTTCCTCAAACAGTAATGAGAATTTCGTAATCACCATCAGATCAGATTAAAAAACAATAAGCACCAAATTAAATAAAATTTTTCCACTTCTGGAAAATAGTTAATGCTGCCGGACTTCTGTACATACCGTCCGCGGTTAGATTTCTAAGATTTATATCGAATCTCACAATATGAATTGGTGGTATTTTACAATAGACAAACAGTGGTATTTACAATCTTGTACAAATCTCTTGAGAATATGTGCTTCACATGAAACACTGATGGAAAAACGTGACTCTAATCGATAGTTAAGATCTATCATTTTGTTTCAATTGTCATAACGTCAATAATATCTATATTTACGCTAATTATGACTATAACAACAGGATACAAACTGACTGCTGAAATTTATAATACAAATGAGCTGGGAGTATTTCAGGGCTTACGAACTATATAACTTTATTCCTCGATTGTTTATGGTCATTTATTTTTAGATGAGTAATATTAAGTTAAGTCATGGATGTTCTTAACTACTCTACTAAATCAAAAACACTACGCATTTTCGCAATCCAAATACACATACACACCAGGAAATAACGACGCTGATCAAGTGGTAACAGATGGATTATTTTTGCTTTGAGTTATGCGCAAATTCGTATAGATATTTGCAGATTTATACCAAGGACTGGCTTTATCTAAACAACCAATGAAAACAAGGGAACTAGGAACAACTATTTTGTCCTATTGTGGGACTCATCGACCGTATCTATCTTATCTACCACCCCACTCACAACTATATCGGGTGTGAGACAGATATCACCAGTGAGAATGGGTGATGGCCATGCAATATCTCAAAATATGGATGTAAATTACGAAGTAGAAACTCAGTGGTTTGAACATTAAGCGATCGCTGCTAACCTTGACGATCACGGGTTCGCACCCCTGAGGGATCGCGGTTACAAACTACTGCCGAGTCCCTTACCCTAACGAAATACCTTCCAACTGCTTCCTGGTTATCAATGGTCATCCAACTGAAGTCGGTTCATGACAAAAAATTAGAATTTTCAATGTTCTCTAAAACTCTTACACAATCGGGAACATTTAATTTACTAATATTAAAGATGATGTTATACGGTACAGGAATGGAGTCTGACTGATTGCCTAGTGACCATCAGTTCCATGTCGTTTTATTTAATTGTCGATCACAATAATAATAGTTTGAACTCCCCAATATGCATTTACATGATCGCTCAGTAATATTATTTCAAAACTTATGCGGTGTAAATTTGATGATAAGTCAATTGTCCGGTCACCTCGGTTATAATTAGTAATAGTGGCAATCAACATAGTCGTTTTGGCAGAAGACAGTGGCTTGAGAGTGTACGAGTAAAAGCAGGTTACATTGCATTTTAATTGTCAATTCCACTTGCATCTTTTACCTCTATTTCCTTCTCATCCGGTTCGTTTTGTGTACTACATCATGTTACTCACTAATACTCAGTAGCTAAAGGCATTTTCAATCAATTTTGTACATAAGAAGCATAATATCCCTTCGTTGTTGAGTTGAATTTATGGATGTTACATAAACTTGTGACTTTCAGTCAACTTATTGTTACAATTGTGACAGTTACTTCGATCTCTTGTTTAGTCATCAAAAATTTGTTACGGCATGATAGTTTTAGTATTTTGTGCTATTAGTACTCGTTTCGATTGTTGGTTGCACTGTGGTATTGACAAAACTACTGGCTATCAAGTAGATTATCGTATGTTTTGGTAAATAATCCCCATACAGCTATTCCAAGAACCTCTTCATCTCTGAATGCATATGCACGCGGTAAGCACCATAGAAACCTCATGTACTGAGGCTTGTAAATATATTTCTTATATTGTCATTATTAATACTACCGTATTTTACAAAAAGCTACTGTTTGCGTTTCGGGATTTCGACACATCACTTAGTCGTTTGGTCGGAAACACCAAACGAAATTAACCGTAATATTTTCGATTAAATAAAAATTGAGAACAGTTACGTCACATTAACTTCACTTACTGTTCTGAAAATGATCAAATAAATATTTCAAGTTATACAACGCATGCTTTTCTGGCGTCAGATATAAATTAAATCTTGAACCCAAAGACATGATGTTACGCTTTAGTATGCAAATTGCTTGGCTGTAAAAAGCAAGATGAGATTACAAGGGAATATTTGAATACAATAGTGAGTGTACGTGGTTGTTCCATATCTTAATTAAATCTACAAAGTTTAACTCTGTACATAGGCAAACAGTATTAATCGACATTACGAAAGTAATAGAGCAAGAATAAATGTTACTTCCACATAATTCTATGAAGGATTTGACAGAAAACTCGATCACTAGTTCATTATCGCTCTGTAAACACGATGCCATTGAGTAACTAGGTCGAAATCCAATGGCCTACATAATCACTTTAAGTCAGTCCTAAAGCGAGAAAGCCCAAACTTTATCCAATTTCATCGGTAGATTGTCGCCTTACTCTTAATCTGGTTGACTCGCGCGTGTACCATAGAAAGTACACAATGATAAGTTTTTCGATAGAACAATGAGAAGATGGAGTTGATCTGAGAAAGGCGATGTATTTGCAATCTACATTTCGAACAATCTAGTCACACATATACTTGTCAGAGCATTTTATATTATTATTAATATGCCTTGACAAGTATCTGTGTGACCAGATTGTTCGAAATGTATAGTGCAAATACATCGCCTTTCTCAGATCAACTCCGTCTTCTCATCGTTCTATCGAAATTTATAAAAGGGACCAATTGCTTTAGATAAGTTTTTCCTTTGAAACTATGATGAAGCGACTATCCAGTGCTCAATTGTTTATCATGGTTTCCTCAATAATGTTGCGTCATGATGGAGATCACTCTCGAACTAATCTTATGCTGTGTGTAATCAGTAATAAAAGGACAAGACAAACATGATACTAGTCACCAATCAATTGTTAGTATTTGAGTTCTACAATGGAGTAGTTGCAACCCAAATAGCTTAGTGGCAACGTTTCGAACGATCAAGTTGGGTGACACTTGTTTGGATACCGAAGGAGGCATCAGTTCTTTCGCGATTGGAGATCTACCATGTTGACGAGCACCAACTATCAGGAAACCTAGTTAGACGGTTTCCTGTCGACTATCTTCAACCACCTAACTTCTCGAAATAACATTTACTTATTAAAAGTACAATTGGTCCCATACTTAACAAGTCCTATATTTATTCTAAAATAATTCCTTAATACTACATTGTTCAAATACTAAAAATTTGTAATAACAATAAAGTTAATACTTACCAACGATCTGATTGAGAAATATCACGAGTGGAAATATCCAACAGTTTTAACTTGGGATAAATTTCAACAAAATCTCTAGGATAAATTATTGGTTGGTCAAGAATTGCAGTGATCAAAGTAAACAAATGCATGGTATAAGCAAAGCATGTGGGCGATGTAAATGTTTCAATTCCATAGTTTATATAATGAATTGGATTATTATTATTATTATCATTAGACAATTCTATGCCATCAAATGGAACTGAAAAATGCTCATTTATATGAACGTAATCATTGGAAAACTTATCCATGAATTTATCATTCTTTGCTGTTACTGAATTCTGGAACAAGGTAAAACACAGATCAGAAACAAATTAATCGCTGATTGGGTCATTTACTTTATCCATTTATCAAATATCAACTAACAATAATTGACTAGTAAGGACTGTGCAATTGGAAGACTATATTGTGCCAGAAATTAATAATTAAAAGTCAAGCAACACAAATCTTGATCTTTGATTTTATACAATTGATTTTAAATTTAACAATAGTTAAATAATAAATCCATTAGAAATTGATATTTATGTTTTGTCATTTTGTTTCCAATATTTGTTGCCCTTTGTAAATATCATTTGAAATTTATGTGGAAAGAGAACAGTTTGATATAACTTTTTGTATAGGAAAAAGGTACTAAAACTCCCTTTACTAGTGAGTACACCAAGTTGGTACACTAAAATTTTAAACAAATGTGCTTTCAATTGATTGGTCGCTGAATATTAATAAATGTGATGTTTATCTAGTCGTTGTAGTGATCAGTACTCAATGATCAATCAGTTGTAACTATTTTAGTCCCACTGGAGGTCAGTCGCAGTCAAAATGACTCAGTAGTAACAGCTCAGATCATGAAGTCGAGTGACATGTGATTGAATCATCAAGAGAGTATTAATTCCATCAAGATCGCAGACACACCTTGCTGAAGAGTGCCGAAAAGCACGAAATCCAGGTCTAGGATATCCTAACGACTGTATCCAACCACTTAACAAGGATATACTTCGTAGATATACGCATTAATGTACATATATTCTTTTATTCCAAGACTTCGTGATTATTGGGTTTCGTTAGGACGGAATATAAACGCAAGACTACTTTTCAGATTAGTGTGAATTTTGTTCAGTATGAAGTTCGTTTTATTTCACTGTAAGATTTTGTTCAACATATTATTCAATTTATAACAGTTTAGGAAGTATGCATTAGTAGTACGATCTTTCCGAGCAACAGTAATACTACTAGCTAAAAAATACTTTCCTTATCTAATAAAATAAAATATTCATATGCTGTTTTATCCCGATAAGAATAATGAATAGTAATTTTTGGGATCCATTTGTAGTGACCTACTTTTACCAAGAGAACGCGATTGATTTAATTGAGACAATTATTATTATAACCAATTGTACCCGTGATTGTTTTACTGTGCTAAAGACAGCCATATTACTACTCCATTGATTGCGACCTTGCACGAGTTCGGTTACGCCCGATAACCACGCTTGTACTCCTTTGGCACGATCTCGGTATCCTTTCGACACCACGAGATCGCCAACAAATACATCTTGACTACAGCCATCAACTGCCTTCTGATATTTGGCTTACGGGGGATTCTATCAGTTAACTGGCACGTAGTCTTCTTGTAGCGGTGTTCATAGTCAACCGCGACTCGACTCCACGCTTCACATTTATGGGCCAATACTATGAGTATATTTTTATCGTGTAATTGTTATGTAATCAAACTGTTCATATTCATGACCCTCTTATTATGAGTTTTATTTCGACCTATGAACTGTTGTTATACGATTTACCATTCTTGAGTTATGGTCTGTCTGTTAATCACCACCTCCCTCATTTACAGCCACTTCTGGCTAAATATTGTACAAATGTTATTTTCTATTTTATGGTACGTTGTGATCTGTTTGATTGGTGTATAAACCCTGTATGTTTGAAATAAATGATTTATATTGAAAAAGTTGAGATTTTTGTTCTGTACTCAACTGGCTGGGCTAGGCGGAAAGCGAGACCAATAAGGACTCCAGGTTGGTCGTACGTGTTTTGTACGTCACTGGTTCGATCGATAATTCGTTGCTCTCTGATTGGCGGTATCGTTGCGATATACAATAAACGGGGCACACAGGTCCACAAGTTATAACATATGCTAAATACTAAACACAGAAATTAACATGGTTATAAGTTAGTTAAAACGTGGGTGAATGTTAGATTCGAATTTCGTAGGTCGATTAACAAGTGTTAATAAACTAAAAGCTGAATATCAAGCTAAATTCGTGACCCCAGATATATCAAAGTTGTCTTTCAGTCATATTTTTAAATATTAGAACAAATGCATTTCGCCCAAATTTTTAAACAATTATTTTGTCGAAATGATTTTTAAAGATATATTTTTTTCTACATTTCTTTTAAGTCATATTGTATGATAGTAGGAGTTTCAATTGATGGAATGGTGTTATGAAAACTTTTAATTATTTGTTAAGTAGTTTGTTACTTGTTGAAGTGGAGAATCTTATATATGCGTAAGCAAATTTTCCATGAACTTGTGTCGTCTGCTTATTTGGATCGTTTATCCAACAACCATTATGTTGAACAGTCTAGTTGACTAGGAATACTCTTCTTATAATAAAGAAATAAGATACACGTGGCTAGAGGCAATGGTAAAATATTTTATGATTTCTTTAACTAATCACCTAATGGTTTATTTACACCGGTTTCAAGAGTAGTTTCTATTTCCTTCAACTCATTTACCATGTATACGGATTTGTACACCAGGGTTCGAGCCACATTATATGTATAAGAGCTAGTTATATTACTCGGTCCCTCAAACACGATTAGTTGGGGCGGAGTTCGCACCTGAGATTTAGTGACTAGAAGTCAAACCCCTTAACATTTGCATCACTACACCACCTTCAGAAGTAAAAGATGGAATAAATTACCTAAGAATCAATAGTCTCAATTCCGATTTATATAAGTGTGTTTTTCATAACATATCCAGTTTATTTTTTAAGATGGTCACTCATGACTGCTGAAAAGCTATATTAGAGGACAATAAACAAAATTACCAACTAAGCACAAACTATGTGGTATCAGCGAGATGTGAGAAACCTCATCAATGAATCAGTATGGCTATTACCTGTTCACCAAGATAAACGTTACATTTGTTGAAAGTAGACATAAGAATACTAAACAAATTTGATCGAAGGAGTTTGTCAGATGCTTTTCTTAGAAATGCGAGGGAATATCTTAGTGAAGAGTTTTTATGTAGGGCTTAAAGCTTTAAACAGGCAAAGGTAGGCGATTTTGTTGATGAGATTATGTAAATAGGTTCACTGAACGATAATTGGATTATGCTGCATATATCCATATTTATTATTGAACTACACATGTGTTGTATGTAAGTAGTGCCTAAAGTGTTCACATGGTATAATAAACTGAATCATAGACTCTGATAACTTACGTTCATTTCATATGACACAATGACAATAATAATAATTATTATAATGGCTTACTATAATACCGTTTGAGTTAATTTCTTCACCAATGTTGCACATTGGATTTATTAAATCATTGGTAAAAAGACCATAAACTTCATTTAATAAATGAAGAATACGAGTCAACAGCGCGTAACGTGTTTTGCTGAGGTCATTACTGTGAAAAAAGAGAGACACGCGTCAAGGAAAACAAATCGATAATAGTATATAAATAAATATCTTAGAAATCCAGGGAGGTTAGTTAAAAAAGTGATATCAGTCCATGATGTTATTGTCAGTTGAAATGAGCACGTGTTAGTAGATGCAAACTACCTGATTGGGATCTTTGTAGTTGTTGGGATTAATGATTGAAGATGTTGGATGACATAGTTCAGGACCGATCACAATGCTTCAGATGTATTGATTTTTTGTATCCCATTAGTTTTTTGTGGGGTTTTGTTCTCTGAGCTGGTCGTGGAGCTTCTATCGTTATTCTGAACGACACCATCAGCACAAGCTTCAGGCAGAAGTGAAGTGTTTGAATTTCTCCGTATATGACTCACCGCTTGTCCTGTAGAAGTCGATCTTGATTGTTTATTCCATTAGATCTTATACTTTTTATTTCATGAATTCTTATTTTCTTAAATAATATCATTTATGTCCACTCTTAGTTACTACCACTAATACTGTGATTACTTATACTACTCTACTTTCTGGCTATGCTGATATAGTGTGGCAAGTAAAACCGATACACAAATACTCCAGGTTTTACTTTCAGTACGACTGGTTTAACTCCGCCTGGAGTCCCTCCGGGGGCTACTGCCGGTCCCAAGCCCAGATAAAGGAGGAGGGTTGGGCATGGGGTTAGCGTCCCCATCCCGTAGAAAACTAACTCGCTAAAAACACGCTAACCAGAAAAAATTATTCAAACCTTTTAAACTCTACCCTGGGAGTCAGAAGGTCTTCATTTAGAAGAATTATGACGCCTCATGATGAAAGCCGAATTCCTTCGGAAGTTACGAGGCCGATGCCCCTTCTGACAACCACAGCGAACATTTATTTAGGTACATGGAATGTTCGTACAATGTGGGACACCGGGAGAGCCTTCCAAATTGCTGCAGAAATGAGAAGATACAACCTAGAGGTACTTGGGATCAGTGAAACACATTGGACACAAGTTGGACAACAACGACTAACTACAGGAGAGTTCCTGTTATACTCCGGCCATGAAGAAGAAAATGCACCACATACACAAGGAGTTGCATTGATGCTGTCCAAACAAGCGCAAAATGCACTTATATGATGGGAATCTCATGGACCAAGGATCATCAAAGCCTCGTTCAAAACAAAGAAAGAGGGCATTTCAATGAACATCATCCAATGCTATGCGCCTATCAACGACTACAATGAAGACGCTAAAGATCAATTCTACAATAGGCTGCAGTCAATCATCGAGAAGTGCCCAACAAAGGACCTGACCATTCTGATGGGAGATTTAAATGCCAAGGTTGGAATGGAAAACACTGGATATGAAGACATCATGGGACGATATGGATTAGGAGAAAGGGACGATAATGGTGAGAGATTTACAAACCTATGTGCTTTTAATAAACTGGTCACTGGCGACACTATATTCCCACCTAAACGCATACACAAAACCACATACACTTGACCGAATCACACTACTCGAAACCAAATCGACCATATCTGCACCAACAGAAAGTTCAGGAGGACGATGGAGGACGTGAGAACCAAGAGAGGAGCTTATATAGCCTCAGATCATCACTTGCTGGTTGCCAAGATGAAATTGAAGCTTAAGAAGCACTGGACAACGGGGCAGACAGTATCACAAAAGTTTAATACGGCCTTTCTTCAGGATACTAACAAACTCAACAAATTCAAGATAGTCCTCAGCAACAAGTTCCAGGCCTTTCACGATCTACTCAATGGAGAAGGAACTACTATGGAGAGCAACTGGAAGGGGATCAAAGAGGCAATCACTTCAACATGTCATGAGGTCCTGGGTCACAAGAAGCACCACCACAAGGAATGGATCACTGTTAGTACACTGGATAAGATTCAAAAAAGGAGGAACAAGAAAGCAGCAATCAATACCAGCCGAACAAGAGCAGAAAAAGCCAAGGCACAAGCTGAATACACGGAAATAAACAAACAAGTGAAGAGGAGCATCAGAACCGACAAACGTAAATATGTGGAAGATTTAGCAACGACGGCGGAAAAGGCTGCAAGAGAAGGAAACATGAGACAATTGTATGACACGACAAAGAAACTCTCTGGAAATCGCCGCAAACCAGAACGACCAGTGAAAAGCAAGGAAGGCGAGGTAATCACCAGCATTGAAGAGCAACAAAACAGGTGGGTAGAACACTTCAAAGAACTCTTGAATCGACCAGACCCACTGAACCCACCCAACATCGAAGCAGCACCCACGGACCTCCCAATCGATGTTGGCCCACCAACAATTGAAGAAATCAGCATGGCCATCAGACAAATCAAGAGTGGCAAAGCAGCAGGACCGGACAACATTCCAGCAGAGGCACTAAAAGCAGACGTAGCGGCAACTGCAAGGATACTCCACATTCTCTTCAATAAGATTTAGGATGAAGAACAAGTACCAAAAGACTGGAAAGAAGGACTCTTGATCAAAATTCCGAAGAAAGGCGACCTCAGCAAGTGTGATAACTACAGGGGCATCACTCTTCTCTCAATACCGGGGAAAGTCTTCAACAGGGTATTGTTAAACAGGATGAAGGACTGCGTAGACGCTCAACTTCGTGACCAACAGGCAGGATTCCGTAAGGATAGATTGTGTACAGACCAAATCGCAACTCCACGGACCATTGTGGAACAATCAATTGAATGGAATTCATCGCTCTACATCAACGTCATTGATTACGAAAAGGCATTTGATAGCGTGGACAGAACAACACTATGGAAACTTCTTCGACACTACGGCGTGCCTCAGAAGATAGTCAATATCATACAGAACTCATATGATGGATTAAATTGCAAAATTGTGCATGGAGGACAGTTAACAAAGTCGTTCGAAGTGAAGACTGGTGTCAGGCAAGGTTGCTTACTCTCACCGTTCCTCTTTCTCCTGGTGATCGACTGGATCATGAAGACGTCGTCTGAAGGGAAGCGCGAGATACAATGGATATCTAAGATGCAGTTGGATGATCTAGACTTCGCAGACGATCTGGCCCTTCTATCCCGAACGCAACAACAAATGCAGGAGATGACGAACAGTGTGGCAGCAGCCTCAGGAGCAATAGGTCTCAATATACACAAAGGGGAAAGCAGGATTCTCCGATACAACACAGAATGCACCAATCCAATCACAATTGACGGAGAAGATTTGGAAGATGTAGAAGCCTTTACATATTTGGGCAGCATCATTGATAAACACGATGGATCTGATGCAGATGTGAAGGCGCGGATTGGCAAAGCAAGAGCAGCATATTTACAACTGAAGAACATCTGGAACTCAAAGCAACTGTCAACCAACATCAAGGTCAGGATTTTCAATACAAATGTCAAAACAGTTCTACTGTATGGGGCAGAAACCTGGAGAACTACGAAAGCCATCATCCAGAAAATACAGGTGTTTATTAACAATTGTCTACGCAAAATACTTCAGATTCATTGGCGGACACTATTAGCAACAACGTACTGTGGGAAAGAACAAACCAGATCCTAGTGGAGGAAGAAATCAGGAAGAAGCGCTGGAAGTGGATAGGACACACATTGAGGAAAGCACCCAACTGCGTCACAAGACAAGCCCTCACATGGAATCCTCAAGGCCAAAGGAAAAGAGGAAGACCAAAGAACACATTACGCCGGGAAATGGAGATAGATACGAGAAAAATGAACAAGAATTGAATAGAACTATGAAAGATGGCCCAGGAAAGAGTGATTTGGAGAATGCTAGTCGGCGGCCTATGCTCCATTGGGAGTAACAGGCGTAAGTAAGTAAGTACGACTGGTTTAGCTGACCTTAAAAATCAGTAGTATTAACAATAAATAAATTACGATGACAATGACATTTAAGAAATCCTGTGAATAGAACAACAAAAAGCAACTTCAAAGTGTTGTATAGACTTAAAAGTGTCCCTGATTATTTGTTTTGATAGTTGGGAAAAACTATTACCAGCATTGACTACTTTGGTAATAGATAAAGTCAATCATTTCTCCTACTTTTCATCTTTACCTAAGACATAAGGAAAGTCAATTTCCGACTACAAGATATATGTTGGATTCAGCGAAAATTTGATTAGGAGAAGTAGCCGTTGTTTATAAATATATTTACGATCTCCCCCAGGTCAACAAAGTAAAATATTAAAACATCAGGAAACCAATAAACAGAGGAAATATTTAGTATCGGTAAAAATGAAAGACAGTGTGAAAATTTAGTTGGGGAGTAAGCTAATTTACAACTTAAAGATAATAAATCCTATAGATAATTTTAATGATCTGACTACCCACGACTCTTGTTGATTGGTTTCTAAAGACGTTACATTCTAAACAAAAAACATACTCCCAACAAGATATTCTCTATAATCTGTACAGGTAATTCAACAGATGATTAAATATTTAGATTTCAGTGTCTATTTATATCCAGTATACAAATGAAAAGAAACTCAAGCAGAATCAAGGTCAGGAAACAATTTCATGAATGATCTTCTTTAGTTCGCAATTCAGTTTCCATAAACTAAAAATTTAAATCAGTATTTCAGTTTATTCATACATATTAAAGTGGTAACAGGTATGCTCGACAATAATGTAATGCTACATTTTTTAAGTATATTAAACAACTTACGGGTTAATTTTGACTTGAAAACTGGCTTATCATCTCTGATTAGTATTTGGTAAGTTTATTGTTAAACTTTATATACCTTTTTTGTATTTTTAGAATTGAACTTACACATTTTACTTATGAAATTAATATATCTGACCGAGTATTATTGCTCGAAATATTTACATTACAAATAAAGATGCCTATATTATACCCTAAATACTTCTTTGACCCAGGCCTAAGCCTTGAGTCCACCAAAGAAAGCAGAAGTTTCATTACCAATCCAACCAACAACGATAAAGTGAAGAAAATATGGATATCCATAAAAGTTTCTGACACATACTTGAGAAATACACGTTAGTGTCAACAGCCTTGGAGTGTCAAATTCAACTACACGTGAGCCGTTTAATAATTTAAAATGGCAATTAAAAAAGCACTCATTTACATTGAATTAAATCATATTTCTGAGAAATAGAGCGTTTTAGAACGCTAAATTTTTGAACTAAAGATTGAATAATTTTTTCAGCTTATAATAGTTTTTTCTTCAACAATAAACTCATTCATTGAAATATCTTATTGACTAAACTTACACAACTGACATGCAAATTGTTGCAATTCTTTCATTTTTATTGACGGCAAGCACATGGATTTAGCAATTTTATTTCAACGGATCAATCTTTTAAAATGAAAAACAGGTATATACATATATAAGATTGGTCCACCTGGTCACCCGCATTTTACGGACATTCCGTGTACCTGTATTAATTGTTGCTCTGGTTGTTAGAAAGGAATCGGCCTTACGACTTCTAAAGAATCTCGGCTTTCACCATGAGGCATCATAATTTTTCTAAATAAAGATCAATCGACTCCAAGGGTAGAGTTTAAATTGTTTTCTCTGGTTAGCAAGATTGTTTTCAGTGGGATAGGGTTGCTGATTTGATACAAAACCCTCCTCATTCATCCGGCCTGGAAACTGGTAGTAAACCTAGAAGAGCTACAGGTGGAGTGCACAGACCGGATAATAACACTACGGATCATTGTTGAGCAATCAACTGAATGCAACTCATCATTATACATCAACATCCTTGACTATGAGAAAGCGTTTGACAATGTGGATAGAACATTATGGAAACTATAGCGACTCACGTGCAATTGAGTATAGTTCAGTCAAGGTCTTTTGTTGACCTATTTAATGGACAAAGTCATCCATGCTATAACAACTTGTTGTACTGTTATTATTATTGTGCTTGTATGAAATACATATGCTTGAACATTGTTAGCGCCTACGCATGTATTCATTCTGCTAGCTTTATTATTAACTGCTTAATCTATTCGCTGACTCATCCATTTTCCTATATATATATATACATTTGCACCCATTCACTACAACTACTCGTTACTGCTACTGCTACAATCGTGGTTCGCTTGCCCATCCATTTTGCTTCTGCTGTCTGGTCCGAATTATCTGCTAAATAAACTGTAGTAGCTACTTCTTTTTGCCTTCTGATTTCAAACATCGTTGAAGATTATACGATAACGGTTCGAGGGTGATTAGTTATCGAAGCACAGCCACTACAGAACTTCCTCGACACTATGGAGTACCTGAGAAAATTGTCAACATCAACCAGAATTTATACGACGGACTACACTGCAAAATGGTACATGGAGAACAACTGACAGTTGCATTGCAAGCGGTGTCAGACAAGGCTGATCGCCTTCTCTCCTTCTATTTCTCCTGGTGGTCGATTGGATTATGAAGACCTCCATATCTACGGGGAAGCACGGAATACAATGAACAACTTAGATGAAGCTAGACGATCCCGACTGCGCAGATGACCCAGCTCTTCTATTCCATACACACCACCAAATGCAGATGAAGACAACTAGTGTAGCGGCAGTAGGCTTCAACATACACATGGGAAAAAGCAAGATCCTAAAATACAACACCGAGAACACCAATCCATCTTACTTTATGAAAATGGAAGCTTCCACGTACCTGAGAAGCATCATTGATAAACAAGGAGGATTTGATGCAGACGTAAAGGTAAAAATCGGAAAAACAAGGGTCGCGTTCCTATTGTTGAAAAACATATGGAACTCAAAACAACTGTCAACCAATATCAAGGTCAAAATCTTCAATACAAACGTCAACACAGTTTTACTGTACGGAGTTGAAACTTGGAGAACTTCCACAACCGCCATAAAAAAGGTACAAACATTTCTAAACAATTGTCTAGGGAGGATAATGAATTTCCGTTGGCCGGATACCATCAGCAACAGCCTACTGTGGGAGAGAACGCTGGAAGTGGATAGGATACACATTTCAAGAAGTTGATGCTTACTAAGAATAAGCCATTATCTGAGAGTAGTTATCGGAGAGCTGGGACACTAAGATTAGCACAAGAGTCTTTCATTTTGGTCTACACTACATATTTGGGTATTTCAATACACTGCTACAATAATATCTGACCATTTGACTTTTGAAAGGAGAGCAAAGAATTTTCTGTAAAACCCATCTTTTACTTCATAGGAACTGTAGTCAGGAGTTTAGACAGAGACTCCTTCATTTGAGTGAACTGTAATTGGAAGCTGCTGTTGAGAATTAGGTAGTAAAGGTTCAAGATCCAGAGTTTTATATGAAATTTTCTGTGAGGCTTAATACTAAGATTTACAATATTTCTAAATTTCTCAGTAAAATAGTTTATACAAAAAAGATGACAGAATGATTAAACAAATACAACGACGTAAATAAGTGGACACGCCAATAATAATGATAATACTTACTATCCATCGTTTAAAGATTGTTTTAAAACTTTCAACCGGCTATTGATTGCTGCTTTATTTCCATTTATGTTTAGGAACTCCTGTTCTGTAAACAAATATTAACAAGTTACATATTACTCAGAAGATAATAATATCTTCATTTCTCGATCAAATAAGATCTTAAAAGTATGTAGAGTTACTCTGTTAAAATATTGTAAGTTATATATTAACTTGACAATCAATTATGTATCATCGAGAGTAGATAAAGATACAAATTAACTGAGCATTAATCTAAATTATCACAATTCATAGCCACAAGATAATATGAATTTGACGAAACGGGATGAGGAAAATGAAAATCGAAAACAAGCAAATCTGTCCATGAACAGCTGCGAAAATATCTTCTTAAACGTACTCAAATAAAAATTTGGCGAGAATACGTTGATGATATATTCGTGGTATTAAAACGTGAAATATACTACTCATTTTCGGAGAAACTAAACAATGAGTCACCCAGTATTAAATTTACTTTAGAAGCAGACTGAGATATATTAATTTTTTTAGACTGTCTACTTAATTGGAAAGAAAATGAATATTTTGATATGACTATTTTCAGGAGGACAACACATTCGATTAAATATTTAGATTTTAATTTCTCACACTCCATCAGCAGTGCAACGGTATTAGCTGTCGTCAGTATTTTGAGAAGAGTTCGCACATCGATAACAAACGAAGAAGAAAGGGGAACATAACTATAATTTTTAAAAACAGAAATACCTAACCGAGAAATTTTGCCCACAAAATAGAGAATAATATTTAACGTGACCGAAAAAGCACTCCAAAATCATGGACTACAATAATCGTGACTCTTTATGGATTACATATATCAGACGAGATTAAAAGAGTATTCAACAAATACAATATCAGATTATTATCTGGAATCTCTGAAACACTACAAAGAAACTTAGTTTATATAAAGGATAAAATACTGAAGGATTCAAAATCTATTTGTGTCCACAAGATAAAATACCCACATTGTTACGGAATATAAATCGGACAACATTTTATGGAAATCAAAGTCAGGAGAAATGAGCATTGCACAGATTCTGTTCAACTACTAAGAAATTCGATACAGCCTAGAAAATTTGGAAGATCTTCAGACGTAGGTCTAGTCACTATAATATTAAGCCACAAAATTGACTCTGATAATTTTGAAATTATTTAGAAAGACTTTTAAGATCACAAAGAATATCTCATAACAAAAATGAGGGGCGGAGACAAATTTTGCTTGGTTCCAACAGCACCACCCTTCCTCGAACTAACACTGTCAACACAAACTTGACAATAAAAGTTGTTTATCATAAAAACACGTTATTTTTACGATTCAAACTATTATCAAATGTGACAATCTACACCTGTCTGTTATTGTTATCAATTTGTTAACTCGACATCTCGAAATTAACTTATCTAGAAGAACTTTGATTGAGTTATCAAACATAAGCTGATTATCTTGTAAGTTCTGGTTCACCATTACGTTAATAAAATTATCAGCACTAAAAAGCGAAATGTCAATGAAAACAAATTTTAGTCTTTGGAAAAAGTTTCTTATAATGATGGGTGCTATTCTGTGTTGTGAGCTCTACTACTACTTTATTGAGAAAGTAGGCAAATACTAATATAGAAAAATAAAGTGGTTTATTTAAAGAAGCCCATAAAAGACCATATACGTTGCGTAAAAGTCGCATTTTCGATTGTGCAGCAAATTTTGTTGCATAAGATCTGTGAATAGACAATGAATACAACAACATTCATGGTAGTCAGAGACTCAATATTTATCATTTTAAACATTTTAATAAACTGATCATAGTTTAAGCATATGATGGTTAAACGTTTCATTGATTTCCACCTATTCACTTATTTAATTGGAATAACACGTTAACAGTGATGAAAATGGACTTCATAGTGAAGCTGTCATACGTACTTAAAATTGTGATGAAATGAAAAACAGACCACCACACTAAATGTATAAGTAGCAATTGTTGCACAAATGCTTCATTATAAGGCTATCACAGCAACGTAGAACCTATCATATTAATGCAACGATCCAAGTCGCGACATATTATTGCAGTAAAGTGAAATTATCAAGATGCAAACCTAAGTAAGAGTAGAAGCACCATAGATTAAAAAAAGATTAGGGATAGAGAGTATGACGTGAAAATAAAAATTTAGTTAGGGTAAAAATATGTGAAGTTACTTTGGGATTCAGGAACTAAAAGAAGATAATTAGTGAGTGCATCTGAGCTAAGTCACCCAACGTCTCCAATCAATTGTTACGATAAAGACGAGACCTGTTTAAACTTCTGTCACCGATTTCCAAGAATTTCCATGAACCTTCTTTTCTTATATTTGTTTTGACTGGCTAATTGTTTATGTTCATGATTTTTATAAAGACTTGCTGAAAAGCTAACTACTCCAATATTTAAACTAAATCATCGCGGTGGAAGATATATTTTCCAACACGTTCCAATATGTAAATGGTATCATACTTTTTGGAAGTCCTGGACATCAGTTTCTTATGACCTTCAATTTTTACGTTAGCCACAAAAGTAGGATCAATAATAAATTCAACCAATCTGAATAGGCCTATTTTATCAGTATCCCAAGAAAGAGAAGCAAAGAAAAGGATTTGACATCAATTGAAACAGAGGTTTAAAACTGTTTCCATTCTCTTAGGTCTTTACTGATACTGCATTTTTAATATCCTTTATTACCTTTACTCTTGACACTTTTTGTTCTTGCTCGAATTGAAGTCACTTGAAGAGATAAAAAACGCGACAGATCTTACATTACTATGTCTAGATACTAGTATTTGATGACAACATACATATACGTGTTAAAACCAACTTTTAAATTGTTTGGCCGGTTTTGAACCATTTATTCTAGAGTTTAAAATTATACTGATCTTTTCAAGGAAACAATGTGGTTGAGTGGTAAAAACACATGCATCCCTTTAAAAAAATAACAATGTGAAATTTTAAAAACTGAGAAAATGTTAACAGTTAAAACTTGCCTAGAGAAACTTTTCTGCTCTCCAGTGCGTGTAGTTTATTGCGTGCTAATGATATTGAGTATTTGAGTGTTTCTGTGCGTTGCTTGACAGAGTCGATTGCAATAGCTAGTCTTTCAGTAGCTACACCCTTAAAATTTCGAATAAACCGGTAGAAACTGGTTAAGAAGATTAATGCTTTACCACAATTTTGACCATAAATTTCAATCTATACAGAACTAATTGGGGACAGCGTAATGCTGTGAGGGATAGAAATAAAAACCAGTAACAGTTAAATGACGTTGGTTTATTACCACTTCTAATCCCGAGAAATAAATGGGATCTGATATGCATTTGCCTTGTTTTTTACTTAACATTTCGAAGGTGATTTTCATGACAAACAGGTGATTTTGATGACCACTGGGAGACTCCATTCAAACCACGTGACTTAGGCTATTCCCACCACCATTCTCCGAAAAATGAAAACCAGCAACATATTTCGTAGAGCCTTTTATTAATACACCTAAGTCACTAAGTTGAACTTTGATAGTTATGAAGAACCACTAATTTCAATTATTGATAATATATTTTTACTCTTTTTTTGCTTGAAAAAATACCGCAACTTACAAGAGTCGGAAACTAATTTCCAAAAGTAAACGCATATTTGGTTAGCTAATTTGGCATAAATGGATATTTATTTAATTTGTACATACGTCGCTTGGATCTGATATTAGTTACACAACCAACTGTATTGGGAAATAGGCTCTACGTTAATAAAATTATTCATCTGAAATTTAATGCATTAATAGCAAGCGTACACTCAATAACTGCATAAATGATTCCCGAAATATAGAAATTATTAATAGGAAGTGAATTCTAGTCACTTTCAAATTGTTTTGTAGAAAACATTCTTCACTGAGCTATTGGACTACGGTGGTTGGAACCAACTTATCTATAAGGATGTTGAAAATAAAAAAATCACATGTTAGAAAGGCATATGTGCAGAACATGATTGAATCTAAATGTATAAAATTAGTACAAAGGCAATTCGATGATAACAGCATTCCAATCCTAATTAGAAGCAAGCCGAATTTTAGGCACAACACGAAATTGCTAGGTGGGGCCAAACTACTTCCAAAAATCTGACTCATCGATGAACTAGATCGCTACAAAAACAAAAACACTTACTTGACTAAATAAATTATGTAGTGAAGATTTCAAACCACCAGCAAGATTTTGCATGTATCTGATACGTTCTAACTGAACCTTAGAAGCCTCCTTGTTGGCTAAAAACCTGAAATCACTATTAGCATTTACGACCAAAAAATTACCTTTGAAGCGTGGTAAGGTCGTAAGATAACTTGGAGGAAGGAAGGGATTTACCTTTAGGCCACTAGAAACCAATTATTTAATAACGATGCTACCAGATTAGGACAGATTATGCCTGGGTCGAAGTGTTTGCGGAAAGAATAAATATGTCTTCCCATTTGGAAGTAAACCTGATCTGTTGAGTTAGAGAAACACATATTTTCACGCATCTAAAAAACAATTAGATAAATTATTGCGTACTTCTGAATTTGTAGGAACGAGGCCGGAAAAATGTACTACAATCTCAAACAGAATTGAGTTGCTTCCTCTATGTGATAGAAAAAAAGTAAACAAGACGGCTGGTACTGATATTTCAGAAATCAATTCCAAACCTTTGGATGATAAGTATTGTTTAGGAAGATTATGAATTTCAACGGGATCCCATTCTGGATTCTGAAAAAAATGTTGCTGAGAAAAGATACGCTACTTTGAGATCACAGGCAACATCACTGACGTAGTAGTCTGCAAATAAGATTCCTTTTAAAAAAATACCTTACATCCAATGTTATCTTGATTAACGGAACTTAGGGCAAAAGTCACTCCTACAGTTTCACTGGACTCTTCATCAGAAACACTAAAATTTCGTCCATATACAGCTCGGAGATGCCTCAGCCGCAACTAAAATACGTCATTATAATACAATTAAAAACCGTACGATGACAGAAGACATTGTTATCACCACTAATACACCATAGCTTTAGACCTTGAAACGTAGCGTACAAGTTCGGATTTCTGTCTCAACAGTTAATATCGCTACACCAAGTCGGTATCTACCATATGAAAGTTATTTTGGTATCTCATTTCAGGTGCGAAATTCCAGAAAACGGTAGTATGCGAAGAGGTCAATGTAGGTAGTTTTATTATTTATTATTAGTGACTCCAGTGGAATTTTATCGGTTGGATTCTTTCGAAAGCCCTCATTTTTATCCTCAGGATATAGCCTTGATAAAACTAGTAGCTTATGCGGCTGACGACAGAAGTTTGATGATCAGGTTGTGAGAACTTAGTTGGCCACTATTCTTTTGAAACTCTACTATGACATGTGCTCTAAACGTTTAGACCTATTCCTATTATCTTATTGTACAACACAGGATGATATTATATCGGCATTCCGTATCTTAAATGATATTCTGCATATAGCCAATCCATATCTTCTGCCCTATTCAGTTTCTCAAACCCTAATTCAAACAAACCTGAGGTGGGATTTCGTTTTTCTTATCGAGTGGTTAATGACTGAAACGCCACATCCGAACAAGCGGTATCTACCTTATCAGTAAACATTTCCAGGGAGAAGTTTGACTTTCAGTGAAAATGCTTCAGAAATTAACACATGTCAAACGACCTACTATGTTGTGGACAAATACTGAAGACTAAAAGCCATCTGAAACTTACGATTCTCGGCACATAGTATGTCATTTTAAAGCATAAGAAAACCAGTGAAGTACATTTTCACTAGCTCCATTAATTTCAGCGGTCTTTACAGATATCCAAGTTTATAAGTTACTAATCGAGAACCAGTAAACTTGGACGTTCCATGTTCCTTGTTTTTACCTGATAAAAAGTTATAATTCATTCAAAAATTCACATAACCAACTGAGGAACTTAACTTAATAAAGGGAAACCAGCAACCTTAATTAACTGATGAGAAATCAGACAGAGATATTGTGAAAAGATGATGGATAGTATGTCTCATATACAAGAATCTATGTGTCTGTGTATTTTTTCCCCACAAGGAAGACAACAGCGCGTGGTGGGATTGATTTTTAAATGTGATATATTGTCATTGTGTTCCAATACAAATTACCGTCTCTAGTTATTATACATGGACAAATATCGATGCGGATGTGGCCTTTGGTGTAACAACGCTATTCACCTCAATTAAGCCAAGGTTAACAAAAGAAACTCTATCTTTGCTTCTCACTAACGACGTAAATTTAGCAAAGTAAACGAAGCTTCAAATTCAAAGTTTACCAGAACTCATCGATTTATTTTTACCGACATACTTTCAATTCAACAACAAAATCTACGAAAAGACAAAAGAGACACCGATGGGATCACGAATATCGGGACTTACTGCAGAAGCAGTGATGTAGGGACTAATAGCCGCGATATCACCAGTGATCAAGGCAGAAATTTGGATTCGTTATGTGGACGACACATTCGTCATCGTCAAAAAGGAGCTGAAAAACATCTACAGGCTGATGAACAACGTCGTCAACAACATTAGTTTCACAATACAACAGGAGTCAAACGACAGACTATCATTCTTGGACATATTATTCACTAGAACCGACACAAGCAAACTGGAGACTCAAGTGTATAGGAAACCGACCCATATAGATCAAACCCTCAACTATAATAGCAACAAACCAAGAGCTCACAAATCCAACTTCGTATAAACCTTGTTCAAGGGGCGAGGGCACACTGCAACACAATTACAGCACGAAAAAATGAGGGAAAATGCTCGAAGATCATCCTTTAAAAGAACGGCTACCCAATCAACTTCATCAAAAAATACCAGCCGCGCACATCAACAGAAACCAAATGCAAGCACGGAAATCAACAAAAGGACAACCCTACCATACATAAAAGGCGTATCAGAAACGACAACAAGACTGCTGAAAACCTTCGGAATACTTGTTGTGCACAAACCAACAAAACCCCTACAATCAGTCCTATGCAAACCAAAGGATGAAATGGCAAAAGAAGACAAAACAACCATCATCTACAAAATAAATTGTACCACCTGCGAAAAACACTACATCGGACATAGCGGACGCCTGCATTATCTTCGCCTGCATAAACATCAATTAGCAGTCAAGCACCATGACATGTCCTTGTAGTGGCATTGGACCGTAACCACATAATTTTCAAAGCTGAGCACAAGACAACTCGGAAAACAGATATACAATATTTAGCGCGGAGAAATACCTGAAGATGGAGAAGGCGCGAACAATGGATTGAATGAATTGGAGTAGATCGAATGGCATGGCTCGGCCATGTAGGCGTGGTCCCTGCTGAATGTTACCATATATCTTCTATTCATATTAAATATATTGTTCTTTCTTTAACCTAACCTTGTTCTACATCATGTGTTGGTAATTGATACGATACAGTGAGTTGGCGTAGTCGATGGTGTGACTTCCACGTAAGATCTTATAGATTAGGCAGTTGTATCATGACAAATCTACAATTTTAGGATTAGGTCTATTACTGGAGCAGTACTAATATCATAGTAGACCATAGTTCTACATCCTCACTTATATCAATGCACTTGGACAACTGCAGACATACATTTGACTGGAAAAATGTGGAGGTTTTTTATAGGGGCAGTTCCAAAACGCTAGAGGATTTTTAGAAGTTTGGCACTCAAGTCAATCAGCAATTAACGAGTACTGAATTCAACCCAATTTATCAGCCAATCAGGAAAATTATGCACAAACTTAGGAATAAAAATCAAACCAGTGGGAGATACAACCAAAACAAAGAAGTAAAGAATGACAAGAACCAATCAACATCGAGGTCTACAGGACAAGCAATGAAATATATGTGAAGAAATGCGAACACTTAACTTCTACCTGAAGTTTGTGCTGATGATGTCATTCAGAAGAACGACTAGACCGTCCAGCTCAGAGAACAAAACTCCATCATGAATATCATTGCTAACATGATTTTAACCAGATCAAATATATTTCGATTTGTGTATTGGCTGTACAAATTCATAATGTTTAATCTATCTGTGTAAGTTGGAAATCATTAGATTATGTTAGAAATCAAAAAAACCTTCGCATCACTGAACAGCAGTAATAACAGTACTACTAGTTTTGTTTATCATTGTTGTGATGGCTTCGTACGTAATTGTTGTTGAAGTTTCAACTCTTTGATAACCGATTACACATGTAAAGCAACGTAATTATATATCATGGAAGTGTTTAGCGAACAATTTTGAGCCTCAGTAGAGAACGAAAAACCACCATACAAAACAGAGCCTACCTCAATACCTTCGTGTGAAATCGCTTAGATGAACTTCAGTGTGCACACTGAAAAACCCCTACAATGAGAAACCAGATGATATTTCGGCCATCATGCTAAAAATGGAACTGGTGATCTGTGTTATACTTCCTAAAGTACTTGCAATATTACTCTCCACAGCATGTTACCCTACTGTTACAGGAGAAGTGAAGAAATTTAAGTGATCAAAAACGTTCTACTTAATTCTGTTTTACTGTGATTTCTGATGTATTTCTTTTACACAATTCCTGAAATTGTTTATTTATATCTCTGACCTGAATATTATTGGTTTCACTTCGTCTTCGTTTAGTACTAGAAATTGTTTGCGCCGGGAACCTAAAGAAATAGAAATGGTATTTTAGTCGATAACTTGCAACTGCAAATAAGCTTTGGTGCCTAAATCGGAGTTTGGTTCTTTAGCAACGGAGGAGAGCAAAAACTTGGATGTAAAACACCACTACCTGGTAAACTACACATATTAATTCCAAATCAAGTCAGGACCGGGAGCAAGTGTTACGGGAGAACTGTAGACATTTGGCTGATTAAAACGTTTTTATTGTGCACCAATAATTTCACTGTGTTTTTGGATGTATTTGTTTCACTTAACCTTTGAACTTGTTTGTTTATATTATTCTTGTCGGACATTTTGGTTTCTCTTTGTCATTGGTTTGGTATTTGGGAGTTTTTGCTCCAGGAACCTGCGAATTTGAAGAATGACATTTCGGTCGACTATTAGTAACTTGCGAATAAGCTTTGTTATCTAAATTGGAGTTTGCTTTTATTGTTAATTTGGGTTCGAAAATTGCAAATAGATCAATATACCGTACTTCAACAACGGGAGCGAGCAAAAACTTGAACGTAACAGCAAGTGTTGAAGATTACCACACCACATACACTTCCTCAGTAGTATCTTGAATGTTTGAGGTAGTAGTTCGTGCAGCAGTAGCTCAATATCTGCTTGCTAATAATCTCAGTATGACCTTCCAAGACGAGTTTCTGAGGTCCACGTTATGAGACACATATCTAGTAGTCTATCTGAATGAGATAACTCTATAACGAGACAACAGGCTTCTTGTATCAGTTTTGCTTTTAAATTTCAGGAAGGGTTTTGGTGCGGTCCCAAACAAAAGATTCCACTTCGAATAAAAGTCTTTCGGAATCAACAACCTATTATATTCATGGTTTGCTTCATTCCTGACAGAACGTAAACAAATGGTAAAGTAAGATGACTCTCATTAACAAGATCAATAACTAGTGGAGTTATCCAGGGAAGTGTATTAGTTCCATCCTTGTTTCTCATGTATATAAACGATATATGTAACATCATAAAATTTGAGAGACCATACATATACGCTGTTGACCTGAAAATAGTATACAGCTTTGAGTTTGAAGCCCTAAGTGAAAGTGTGTACCAGATTCGATGTGACCCCAACAACCTAACAACCTGAAATGTAAAATTCCGATTACAATTTAAATACAACAAATGTGCAACCATGCATTTCGAGAAAACCCCTTTATGAACTAATACTTCACTTAAATAAATTTACAATTCAGACACTCAAACCAATTCACGATCTAGGAATTAATTACATAGGGAGCCTAAAATTGCAAGGATATGACTCATCTGCCATCTCAAAATCTAGACAACTGACGGACTTC